CGTTTGTTGCGAAGCCAGGGAATGCTGGCTGTTGGGCAAGCATTTCTCATTTGAAAATGACCGTGGAAAGAAGCCTGGGCTGCTCCAGCTTCCCTTTGAGCAGAAGATGGTCCTCATACAATAAACCTAACACTGTCTCGTGCTAATGAATTTTCAAGTTAAGATGCAAATACTGGCTCAGTTTCAAAATTTATACTCTCTACATCTTCACGGTGATGAAAACTGCTCAACCCTCCATTAGAATTAAAAACAAGCACACAATGAAATAGCAAAAACCAACCTCCCAAATCATGAAATCATTCTTTATGATGTTTGATTCCATCTTTGTATGAATGTCACCATTCCCTTTCTCTACTTTTAAAGCAAGCATTGCTTTGCTTCTCCTCCATCCTTCTCTTCTTTTGAGTTGGTCTTGAACTCTCTATGTAGCTGAGAATGACCTTGCATTCCTTCTTCCTGTTTCCCATTTCCTGCTCTGGGATTATAGATACATACCACCATGCTTGGCGGAAAGCAAGAACTTCTTTTATTTTATAAGGAGCTATAGACTCACTAGTTTTCACAAGATTGCTATTGACTAGGCTTCTGTTTCTTTTAGATAATAATTAAGCCAGCTCTAATATTCTCCTTATCAAATAAAAAGGAGAAAAGGGTAAGTATCTTACTTATCTGTTCCCGGCCTCCAACACCTCTGTTTCAGTAGATTATTGCAAGATGACTGCACATATCATCAAAGGAAAAAGGAAACAGCTAGCCCCATGGCAGGGGGATAAGTGTTGCCAGAAGGTAAGGAAAATTATGTTTTTGTGCACGATGGGAAGATGCCTGCTTCTTGTCCTGTTCTTGCTTATGATCATGGGCATTGAAATAGAAGAGAAACATATAGCCACGGCTGAAAAGTGCTTCTGAAACCTGGGCAGTGAGGCTGAGAAGGAAGGTTCAGTCACTATGATGAAGGGGCAGGGCCTGAAGTTTATCGCAAAGACTGTGGTAAGAGTGGAAATGGAAGGATGACACACAAGGTTGGTGACAAGGGCAGCACAGCAAGGATGAGGCTGGGTATGATCAAACCTAACGTACCAATGTGAATTCCTGTTGTATAGTTGCATGTTACAAAGTCCAGCACTGTGCATAAAGTCCCTTATGGGGGCCCATGAATCCCAAATATCTGGGATTTACACTTCAATTAAAAATTTACCCCATCTTGACACTCTGGCCTTACTTGCCAAAGAAAGACTCTAATAACTGTTGGATCCCAAAGCAATCGCTTGGTGCGGGCGACTGACCTACAAGTAAATAAGCAACTCGCACTGTGCTTTTCTAACAGGATAAGTTTCAAACGCACGTTAAGTCTTCAAACAGCTCAGATTTCCTTTCAGCCTTCATTGTTTCTGATGTCAGTTTGGTTTCCATTACTGCAGTTTTAGTTGTCTTGTGGTCATGGCCATTTCCCTTCTCTTTCATTGAGTTGCTCCTCCTAAATTACTCTCAAATGCAAATATATATACATTTAGTGTGGGTATGGAGATCAGAGGATAAACAGCAAGGGTCACTTTCTCCTTCCGCTGTGTGAGGCCAGGGGGTTGGATTCAGGTTGCCAGGTTTGAGCTTCACCCAGGGAGCCATCTTACCAGCCCCTTTCCTCATCCCCCACCCCTGCCTTTAGGTTTTGACTCTATTTCAAGGATACAGAAAAGCAAAAAACAAAACAAAACAGAAGAACACACTGTGTGTGTTAAGAGGGTAAGTAATGTCTAGGAGACCTTTGCTGCATGTTCCAAGTGTCGTTTCTTGTTCCTACTCTGCCACATTTTTCCTACTGAACTCCCTTTAAGGGAGCTACATGTACAAACTTCCCAGAATATCCTTATGCTCTGTGGAAGCTATTCATCATTTCCTATTTACAGACAATTCCTTGTTTAACAGAGTACAAAGACTTTTCTTTGCATGTCTTTGTAGTATTGAGGTAGATCACCACTGCCTGGCACACAGATGGAACCAACCCTTCCTCCAAATTCACCTAACTACCATAGCTCTGCAAAGGAAGAAAAGAGATACGGACAGGTAGAAAGACCAACCCCATCTGTCTAGGACTTGTTCATTCTGCTTTCCTTTAACATCAGCAATATGGCGAGGGTAAGGATCCTGTCTAATTACTCTTATACCTGCTCCCAATTATATCAAACACATTGCTAAGTATACTGAAATCACAGCATAGTTTAATTTACTTGGACATTATTATCAGTATTAGATACTTCTCATCTGTATAGTCAGAACCAGGAACAACAAAATAATTTGCTATTATCATGGTTCATTTGTTACTTTTTCCTGTAGAGATAAACGACCTCTTTATTATCTTCATGTATTCATATTACTATTAAGTTCATACTCAATACTTATTATGTGTCCCGAGGACAAACTACAAAAGAACAAACTCCTTGTAGTTCTGATCTTAACAGTATTGTCTTGATAATACCAGTTGCCATTAGCCTGCCATCAAGCACTTCCTCCTGCCCTTTTAGACCTGTTCCACAAATACAGGAATTATTGTACCTTGTTGTTTTGGCAGCAGTGATTGACACTCACTAATTAATTAAATTTGTGTGTGTGTGTGTGTGTGTGTGTGTGTGTGTGTGTGTGCATGGCATATGCAGTGTGTGCAGCTGCATGCAGAGGCCAAAGGATGGCATCAACCTCATCTCCTGCTCTATGGCTCTCTGACTTATTCCTTGAGAGAGGCTCACTGAGCCTGCAGCTAGCAGCTAGGCAGGTAGAAAGCAGGCACCAGGGATCTATCTCTCTGTCTCTAGACCCTGATGTAAGATTCCCCTTTGTATGCTATGAGTATGTTTTATTGCCACTAGTTAATAAAGAAAGTACAGTTCTGGGGTTGCAGCCTTGTCTATGGCCACAATTGATTTTTTTTAAGTACATTGATGCTGTGGATTTCAACTCAGTCTTTAAGCTTTTGGTATTTTATTTTATTGCAAGGAATGTGGACAATAAATGTTTTGGGAATGAAAACCTGAGGTATAGGATTGGCAAATGGATAAAACAAACAGTCACAATGTGGTCTCTACCTAGCATATGAGTTAGGGAAAAACAGTGCAGATTCAGACAGAAGGATAGAACACAATTACAGAAGAATTTCAGGGGTGGGCAGGTTTGTTCTGATGTTATTCAAAACTGAGCTGAAGAGAGGACTTGTTGGGCATTTAGTTAGAACTGCCTTCCTTCCATCTTGTCTAGGGCCTCTTATCCTTACACTGTTGTGATGCTGCCTCCTATACTGACAGCTACTGCATGCTGAGCCCAACCAAGGACAGTTAGAGAGGGAAAGAACTGTTAAGAAACATTAAACGACACAGGAGGTGTGCTTATGGGACAGTAAAACTCTTGCAAAAGCAAGCACACCAGGATTTATGTATATAACTGGGCCTGTGTTTCACTGTGAGAAGACCCCTGTATTAAGTGCATGTTTACTTATCTAATGCAATGAGATTCCCTCAGAACACTCCACTGGCTCCTGGAAGTACTCTGCATCTGATCAAGCAGATTACAATATTCTACCACTGGTAATTCTTAGGTCTTTGGATGCCAGGATTGATTCTCAAAAACAGATGAAAAAAAAAATCACCATGAACTGTGATGTCTGACGATGTGACAAATGCTGGTAAGGGCAGTGCCGCCAGTCTGTGTCACTTTAGATTCATGGTCGTTTTACCATGGGGCCTGGCTCTGTTTTAGAACAATCTTCAGAACTGGTAAAACAGCATCTTGAACATCTTTAACTGTACTTGGCTTCAGGCATTTGTCTCTCTTGCTAACACTTTCGTATTCTTTTTGCTTGTATGACACGTGCCCCTCCCAACCCGTCAGTTTGCATGCATTGGTTATCGGAAAGCAAAGAGCAGCTGTGCCCTCCTTGGATATTTCTCCTCTGCCTCCATCTCTGGCAAACACACTCTTGACATGTCCAGTTTCCTTGTTTGCCCACGAATGCCTTTTATAAACAGAAGTTGATTATGTGGCCAACTACGCAATAAAAGTGAGGTTCTGAACTTTAGGGCAACTATTTAAAACAATCTTAATGAACCTATCCACAAACCTTAAATTCTTGAAGCAAGTAGGCCTGATCACTGTTAACTCTGCCTCCTGAACGTGCATGGCATTGCTCACAGCCTCCTTTCTCGCTGCCCACTTTAACTTTCCTTATTCTTCATTTCCTAGACTCGGCATTCAGGGCTTCTGACCTGGCCCCTTAGAGTTGAAAGTCACTCTTCATCTCTAGGTTTAACTTGTTTCATCCATCTCCAAGCCTGGCTCTCAATGTTCTCAATAGCCAGACTTCTGACAGCCACCTGATCCTCCCTGGTTTCTGAAGTGCTACACCTCTCTCAGGTAGGTGTGTGTTTGCCCATCAAATTCCTCCTGGGCTCTCCAGGAGAGCTCACAATCTCTGTATTGAAAACAGTCTTAAAGTTCCTTAAGAGTTGACTCTATCCCTCAATGTAAGTTATTAATTATATTTTAAATTAACGTTTAATCTGAAACTCTAAAAATCTGCTATCGTCTCTGAACAGGTAGGACTCCTAGACTAGTCAATAAGCAGCGAAGGCAAGTTTGACCACGGGTGGTAATGTTTACCAGCGAGGTACCAGATGGTCTGGAGCCAGCGATGGAAAAAAAGACTACAAACCAGTGTGAACGCACGTATGACACAGGCGGGGCTTTCAGCCCCACCAGGGCACAAAGAGGCAGCAGTAGCTGAACACAGGAAATACTGCTTTGAAAGTTGGCGCAGAAACAACAATGGCCAACAGATCTTTCCTCAGAGCAGCGGCGACCTGACTATAACAAGACAACTGAGAAAAACCAGCGCCTCTTGGCGCGTTTCCCTCAACTGTTCCCTCTTTTCCTTTCTCCTCACTTTGTTCCTTCCAAGCTTTGCAACGCTTTGGCTGGCCTTCACCTTCCTGCATGGACTGGCTTTCACTTACCATGCCCTTTAGAGTCAGATCGGCTAAGGGAGATCGGTTGCCATGGAAATCTGGCCAAACATGTAAATCAACAGTGAGGAAACCCACAGGCTGAGCCTTCTTAATCAGATCCAGGTGACTGTTCAAATATGCATATATACTCTGGCATCTGGAAGAGAAGTGGATTTCGATTTTAAAAGGGAATGGGGTTGAAGAGCAAATTATTCTGCAGAAAGAAACCATTTGCACGTGATGTCAAACCCAGGAAAGCAAACAGGCTCCCAAAAGTTTCGGCAAATCGGTGACTCTTATAAGAAACTACCCAGTGCACTCTGGCAAGCCACTGTCCTCACAGAGCCCTGTAGGAAGGGGAAAGGCTTGGAGTCAGGAGTCCCGCTCAGACACTGGCTTCACTCCCAGAAGGTGTGTGAGCATGAGACGGTTATTCGGAGTTCTGGAGCTGCCCTCCTCTCATCTGGAGAAACATCTCACAATCCTCGTCCAACTTACCTCATCGGGTTATTATGAAGATCAAAGACCATGTATTCAAACAAACAGCATTCTGTAAACTGTAGTATAATGTGGCACATATGCAAAGGATTTATTAAAATCTGTCTCCCTAACTATAGTAATAATTATGAACTGAGAAATAGAGATAAATATATGTTCCTGGATTCAATGAATGAGTTTCATACACAGTTAGGATCAAGATTCAGACATATAATTCCAAACCATGATCTTGAAATGCTATTGTGTAGGCCTTCCCCCTTTTTATGTTTTAGTTGATTGATGTGCAAAACGATGGAACTGGGACAATGCTGTTAGTCACTGACATTATTCAGGTCAAAAGAAGGTGGGCTTGGGATTGAAGGCAATGCTAATTTCAAGTCTTGTTATTTGTCCTGGCTAGGTAGCATGCTTTAGCTTCTCTGAACTTGTATTTCTCCATTCATAATGTAGTATAACACTGCTTACTCACAAAGACAAGCTGGAGATCTTAGGAAAATGCTGCCTTCCCAAGCTCTGACCAATGATCCCAAAGATGAATTAGGAGTCGTTCTCACTCCCGCATGTGTGGTGTCCTTGGGACTGCAGTTTAAAGGTTAAAAATATTATAGAGCTAAAACATAAGAATAAACATCTGAAATACTTCTGACGATATTTGTCCCTTGCATTTTTAAAATACCTTAGAAGAAGTGACATCGAGTTATTCTAGATTTCCAGTTTAGGTTTTGCAATACTAAGAGTGGTATACTATGAAGTTTCTGTAGGTTTCTAAAAGAATCATAAAAATAGTTCAAATTCTATCTTTCTCTTCTTCTATCAGTGAACACTTTCTGCTTTTTTTCAGTTCTGGGAGATCAAACCCAGGATCTTGAGATCTAACTAAATACATTACCAATGAGTTATAAACCCAGGCCCGGTGAAATTCTTCTAGTAAGTAAAACTTTTATATGGAACTCCCGTGCAGAAAATGTAGAAAACCAAAACAGCTTGGTGTGTGCACGCATGAGCACACAAACTGATGAATGTCTGGTTATAACACCCGCAGAGCAGAGGGAGCCCTGCTGCCCAGTGACCTCTTTGCTGCAATCCTGCTTGGCATCTGTAGTCGATGCCTTTACTTCTGGCACGAGGACACAGTATTAATGGAAAAGCCCAACCATGAATGGAGTAGCAGCTACCATCCCTGGAGCATGCATTAAGCTTCCACTGTGGTCCAGGGAGGATGTATCACCGAGACCCTTTACAGAAGTCCCAGTGGCAGAACAATTGGGAAAGGTCCACATGGAACCCTGAGCTGTGACTGATGATGAAGCCATTAGCTTTCTGTATCTCAGCTCAGATACTTTGACAAGAATGTCAAAGTCGCCTCCCTACAACCCTGTTGTAGAATATTCTATTTCAGTTTTAGGAAAAGGCCCTCTGAGGCATCCACAGAAGGGAAGGCTATAACATATACATACGATCACATCCCGACTTTCCATCTCCCAAATCTCCCTAGTCTGGCCCAACAGGAACCATATTTACAGCAAAAGCCTCAAGAATAACCTTTCTCATCAAAAGCTAAGAGTCTGCACTGGTTATAACCACTCTCCCCTTTGGAAGGACATTGCTGCTCCTAGATTATAGAAATAGATATATTTAAAGAAGTGAATGGCCATAAATCTTCTCATTCTGCCTTTCAAGGAATCTCAGAGTGGGTGTTTGGCTTCAGACATTTGGGTCAATAAGAATCTATATGCCTAATTACTATTGATTTGTCATTGTCTCATTTACTGAGGGTCTTTGCAAACAGTGAGATTCATTTAGCCTGCACATATATGGTCACTCATACACTAATGAGATCCCTGGGGGATGGGCATATGCTTGCCCTTCTGACTCCTAACCTCCTTGCAGCTGTGTGTTTATTCTTTGAATTCAGCCTGTTCCCTACATGCTTTTTCAATTATACCTTACCATGTGTGCTATCTGAGTATATCATTCAAAATGAAGTGCACTTGGAAGACATTAAAATAACTAATGCACGTCATCATTCACATAATTTTAACCTCGCTTGATGCTGGTTTTGGTTTTGACATTGTTTCATCTCGTATGTTTTATCAATTCTTCCTCAAAGCGCTGCTTGCTTCCTTCCAAGCAGAATAACTCTGATCCCAATTGGATTTTTCTCCTTCCTTCTCATGAATGCCGACTCATGTGTTCTGTCTCAGAGAGTCCCGTTAAGGATGACAAAGAAAATAGTTTCAATAACCATAAAGTCACTTCATTGGAGAGCAGGTACACGAAACCTCACTGAATCCAGGCCACTCTTTTGCAGTGGGAGTCAGTAGTCTGTACTTTGCCAGATGCTAGAAGATTCCATGCAGAGCCCGGAGCACTATGCAAGGACAGGTGATTAACAAGTAGCTCATTCTCTTTTGCTATCACAGTATTTTATTACAGCTTGTAGTCTTCATAATCTCAAATGCAGACAGTGTCTGAATCACCCTTTCCCCTCACCCCAAATCAATTCATTCTTGAGGTTCGCAGGCTGTCCATCATCTGTTCTCTTCCCCAGAACACTCTATTATTTTTTCTAATCTCTCTCTAGCTCAATCTTCTCTTCTGTTAGTACCTTAAATATGTAAGTTCTTCCAGAGGCCTGCCTTCAGTACCTTCTTTCTTGTTTACTATGATTATATTCACAAGCCAAAAATAAGAATGTATGGTATAGCCATAAATAATAATATTAATAATAATAATAAAATAACAACAAGGAATTTACGGAAAGAAGCAATCATACTGCCAGTATCCTGGTCCTCATTTCTCACGCATTTGTTCTTCCCATTCTGCTGAAACTCATTTCATCCCTTGACCCCTTCTTCATTTGTTTTCTTCCTCCAGTCCTCCCAACATTTTTTTTTCAATTTTACTAACCCCTCTGCAGCTCAGTCCTCTCTTCTGCTAGTCCCTTCAGCATCTAAGATCTTCCAGAGAACTTCCTCTGGTACCTTTTTCACTCGATTTATTCATTTACATCACTGTTTTCTTTTATGTATCACTCCAGCTATCATCTAGTGATGATTTAGACCAAATATACATCCTCATCCCCTCTCCATTATTGTCTCACGATTTCCAGGTCCAGCAGTCAACCACCATAAGCTGCTTCTAGAAGAGCCAACGACAACTCTAGTAGAAATAGCTAACATAATAAAAACCATCCTTTCTGATATACATGCTCTATTTTTCTTTTTCCTTAGTGTGTGTGTGTGTGTGTGTGTGTGTATGCTTGTGTGTGTGTCTGGCTTTAATTAAAGCTAAGAGTTGTCCGGTGGCTTGCAGAAGTAGAGGCAGAGCAAGCAGCATTTCAGGCTCCCCTCAGCTCTCTAACCTTTCCCTAGGATGTCATTTCTTCTTCTAAGTACCTCTGTTTAGTGGCCAAATGTCACTCCCTCCAAATCTTGCTCCCTCATGACAGGTTTTCTGCTCTGCTTCCTAGAGACCCTACAGTGCCAGAGGTGATACCTGCTACCTCCACCTAGAAGCTGAAGTGACTCCCTGCTGTCTTCCCCATTTTTCCTCACTGACAAGCTTCCCTTCTAGCACAAGAGGCTCCGACATTAGGAGTTTCCCTCACCTTTGGCTGTACTGCAGGTACACTTCCCTTTCTTTTCAGCCTGGCTCCAGTTCTACCATGCAAAACTGCCTTTTATCCTCATCAACTGTACATCAAATCTTCTTACCCATCCCACGGCCACCATCATTTCAGAATCACCTGTGCTATCATCTTCAAGCCTTGTCCGAGCCCAGGGCCCTTTTATTGTCTATGTTCCCACAGCCACCTGTGCTGAACACGACCTTTGAGCTCCCTTACTACCTTCTTCAACGCAGCCTTGTGTGAGGAAAGGGAGGATCTCAGCATCCCCGTGCACCATTGTCAGGGGACTTTGTAACTCAATCTAGACATGCCATACCAGAGAAATCGTGAATTCGAAGACACTGATTCTTGGTGAGATTATAAGCTTGAGGCACCAATGTGATCAAGAAAATTGAGTTGTACTAAATTAAATACCAGAAAAACTAGGGAAAGTACTTAAAAAGATAGACAGGTATTGAAAAAAAGAAAAAGAGTTAGCAGAAGAAAGATAGTCCTGAAGGACCTGCCACCAATGGGCTCAGTAAGAGGGACATTCCTCATAATGACGTCTGCCAAAGGCACGCGAAACAGTCTGGCATTCTACTCAGTCTCTTCAGTCAACTCCGAGTCTCCTGAGGAAACCCAGCCTTATTTTCTTAAGCTTCCCTTGATCTGGAACCCCTTACCAATGCTTCCTTCTGTCTGCAAGAGAGCAGCTAGGGTAATCTTCTTAAAAGGCAAATTTCATCATGTGTCTCCTCCGCTTAAAAAATACAAACCTTGGGGCTGGAATATGGCTCAGTGCTCACTATGTATTTTGTAGGTACATGGCTTGGGTTCAAGATGTAGAACCCCAAGATCAAAACCAAAAATAAATCAGTGAACAAAATCCAGTGTCCTTTCACTGATCTAGGATGACTGGCATGGTGGCTGGCCACTGGCAACTTCCATCTCGCATCTGACACCGTCCCTCCCACTGTGTCCAGCTACCAGGTCTTCATAGTGTTATCTGAGCCCGCCCAGCTGATGCTGCATAATACCTTGAAACTTGCTAGTCTTTCTATTTGGAGGGACCATTCTCATAGCATCGTAGCTTTTTTTTTTTTTGTCCCTTTCTTTAAGGTCCCACTCAAGAATTTCTGCTGCAGTGACAAGGACAGCATCTCCTGTTGCTCCAGTACCCTTTGCTCTACATTTCCTGAGTTACCACAATTTTTTTTCATTTAGAAATTATCAGTTTCAGACTACATGTGTGTATGTTTGTGCATTCATTATATGTAAATGCACATGTGGATATATATATATGTATAATTTTTATAAAAGCAAATTTTGTTTGTTTCACCCCTGTTTTATCACAATGTTCACAAAATAAGTTAGACTTGACAGATCTAACCTTGACTTCAGGAGAAAACCTTAATATATCATGCTAGCATCATCTATTCAAAGATCTGCTCTCACTAGGACTTCATTCTGAGACATTTTTAGTTTAGTTTCTATAAGAAAATCAAGACAAAGAGAAAAAGAGCTGGATCAGCCATCGATGGTAAGCAATCGTTGTCTATGGGGTAAAATACCTTGATATCTGGCTCCATAATAAGAAAGATGTTGGTTGCCTGCTACATGTATGAGCACATGGGATTTGTTTACTTAATTTACAAGCTCAAAAGAAATTTCTATTCAGAGACGGGACCTAAAGGGATTATGGGAGATCAAGAGGATCTGTTTATCTTACATTTGTTTATCTATACTTGTTCCCACAATTTCAAACAAGATTTGTTGAACCTAAGCTATGTGGGGAGGTAATTTGCGTTAGTGGCTTCAGAAAGCCCAAGTAACAGCACGGAGGCCTATGGATTTCCTTCCGTTGTGAAAAGTCAACTTTATGTTAACAGAGTTCTGTGTATTTCATTCAAGACCTAAAATATGAGAATGCTGTACCAAAAAGATCTGGTATGATAAGACGAAAGAAATAGGAAGGTGGAAGAGAACTAATTTTATTCAATAAATATGCATGAGAGTCATCAAAATACAGAAAGATAAGAAGTCAAGAGCATAGTTGGGATTACTTTTTGGAAGAGACAACAAAATAGTAAAAGATTACGGAGAACTAGCTGTCATGAATATTAATGTTACTGGGAGAAAAACAAAAGTCCGTGAACTTGGAAAGCAGGAAGAGTCAGAAATACTAGAAACAAGGATAGACAACATCTTGGAATGTTAGGTGTAGGCATGAAAAAGGGACAAAGGAGTGACTTGATGTCACACGTTGTGGCAAATGTGAGAAGTGAACCTGTAATAATGCATCCTGTGGAATTAGCAAAGCTTAAGTCACCAAAAAATGTTAATGTCAAAAGCTTCAGGGAGCTGAACGTGACAGAGTTCACACTATCATAGGCAAAGGAAGAGAAGAAAATGATTAAATGGAGACATGGGGTGTAGGAAACATGTTGGAGAAGTTCATCCTTAAAGAGAAAGAAGAACAGGGAGGGGGCTAGATGAGGTATGGGGCTATCAAGACTGAAGTCCGGGGCTCACGCTAGGCTGGATTCTATGAATTACTGCTTCCGGATTACTTGCTGATGCACAGGCTTTGAGCCTGCATTCTAACTACAATGTCTTGCTTTTCTATTTGCAGCAGAAACTGAAATGGGGTTCTTCTGTAGAAGAACGTTATAGAAGTTAGGTTTCATTGAAAAAATCTAATTATTCTGTAGGTTTATATTGGGCACTAAATATTTACATATTGATATCGCTAAGGTTTGATTCAATATTACAACACCTGTAAGTAAATCAAGCAAGGTTGTGGTTTTATGAGCTCATAATGGAGTCATGGAAAGACATTTGTGGCCGAATTGACAGGAGACTATCTTTAATCCCAGGCCTAGCATTCTTGCAATCCCATACACCTTTCATGAGAAAGTAACCCGGCTACTGCTTACTGGCACATGGGAAGGGCTGCCACTGAGCTTCTTTCTCTTTTTATCAGAGTGTAAGAGTGTAGTTGCCATTGTCACAGTTCGGTTTAAAACCTTTCCTTAGTATATCACCTCCCTAAAGTCAGAGTAAGTTCTCAGGGCTAATCATCCAATTTTATCCCATAATAATGCACACCACAATTGTTATTTGCATCTAGTGCATCAGAGTCCTTCAGGAATGTGATGACAGTTATGACCTCTGCTCAGAGAAAGTCATGCACCTATCATCAATGAAATCTGGTACAGAGTTCCAAAGGTTCACCAATGATTGGAATTTAGGAATTCTTGTTCTGGGTTACACTATGCCTAAGGCAATGAAAGTACCAGTTGATGAGGGTGCACGGTATAAGCCTTCCCCATAATGATGGCATTACTATGACTCCTGGGGGAAGGCTAGGTAATGCATCCTCCTTTTCTATACCCTGGAAGCACACTGCTGAGATCTAATGCAGCATGTATGCATTCGACTCCGCATGGGCTATCCTCTCTGTTAGAATGCAAGCCCCCAGCAGAGTGACAACATCTAACAAGGAAGATCAACAACACTTCCTCTCATGAGCATTGTTAGTTACTGAATTTCTACTATCACTCGCCACTCGCCACCTCTGCCAACCACTGCTCTTGCACTTCTGGTTTTCTCTATAGTCATATGATGTGTTTACATTGCTAGTTCCATTCGCTGTGAGATACAGAGGTACAAACAGATCAAGTAAACTGCTCAGGTCTACACAGCTAGTATTAAGTCTCTACTCACGCAGTTTTGGCCTCACAGTCTGTGATCTCACTTGCTATGTTAGACTTCCTTATTGCTTAATACTAGGTGATAGTATTGTGTCACACACATGCATTTTTAATCTTTTTATTTCAATTCATTTTATATTCACATAAAACATAAATATGTAAAAAGGTAGACATCTAAGATTTATCATCTGTGGTACTAATATGAATAACAATACTTCTAACTAACCTACAAACATTTGAACTTAGGGTGCATGCTTGTCTGTATATTGGTTTTTTTGGACACAAAGAGTCTTTCTCTGTAGGTCAGACTGGCTTGCAACTCATGGTAGTCCTCCTGCCTCAGCCTAAGTACTAGGATACCAACAGAGAATCACTGCACTAACACTGGCATGTGAATTTTGATGTTCCATGCACACCAATCTCCTAAGATTCTTTTCATTAGCTGTGATAATCTTGGCTCCGTTATCCACTGTGCACTTACCTATCTGCTCAATTATAGTCTATACATAAGAGTTTTCAGAACAGGTAACACATGCACATGTAAAACAAACTTAGAAATTAGAAGTTTATTCCTATCTTTAGCTATTGCACAATACTGCCAAAATATTCTTTGCCAAGAATTACTTAGGTCACTTCTTATATTTCTTTGACCCTTTTTGGTAGTATAGGTAAGCTATTCCTTTGTTATACAGAAGGCATGGTTTATATTTATATTTCATTTTGCCACTCTACTACAAGTATCTATCTATCTATCTATCTATCTATCTATCTATCTATCTATCTATC